AATGACCTGCTCTGTGCCTGTTACACAGAAGCGTTAAAATGAGAGCAGGCGACCCCTCTCCCCCAAATCATTCATCTGTTATGTCTGTGATGTATTTAGGCTGAATCCTTTCCCAGATGCTGGGGATCCGTCTGTTCCAGGGGAAATTAATGGGATTTTACCATTTGCTTTGAGGAGAAGAGGACTGGAGTTTCTCTTGCTGTCTTTGGCAGGAAGGAGCGAAGAACTTTCCTGTCTGCTCGCTTTAAGTATTACGTCTTTTTAAGCCTTTTTGCTGGATAGTCTCATTTGTGCTCCTGCAATATAGCATGTTAGAAAATTACAGAGGTTAATGTGCAGCTCTGTGATACACAACCATAATGGTAGACTCTAATGTTTTTTAAATGGTAAACCAAAGGAATTCATAATACGAGCTGCAGCGAATTGCCTCTAATTCCTGCCAAAGATTAGTTTAGCATTGCTTTTAATATTTTATGCCCTAAAATTGTTTGCAAAGACTAAAAGCTTTGCTCACTTTGCACGCTCTTAATTTGTTCTTTCACTGTGAGGTGCACAACAGCAGCACTCTCTTGCAGATTAATTGGGTAGCAGGAAGTTTTATTAAATTTCAGCTTTGCTGTCTTTGAAAGATTTTTCTAGTAATCAGTGAAAACTGGATGAGATTTATGGCGCCATAACTGTGCTAGGTAGTTAGAAGTCTAACCTTCTGTAATATCACCCGTTGCATATTAATATTTTTAAGTATCTAAAACACATATGAATGGCATGGGAGGTTTTGACTTTAAATGTTGTCATAGAGATTTAGCCATACATAATCCCATTAAAATATAAGAGTACAAGATAAAATGATCTATCTGCAATTATAATTATGCGTATCTAGATGGACCATTCCTTAAAACTTGGAAACGGGAGGTGGAGAAGGGCGCTTGAGCGATCACTCTTCATTGAAAGCATTGATGGAAGAATAAAAAACGGAGGGGGGGATCGATTTGTCTGTAGCGTGCGCAAGACCTATGGCAAGCCTTTCTCTGGAAGGTGAAAGGCAGCGTGCAGCAGGGTGGGGAAGCGCATCCTGGCAGAGGGGCAAAAGCTGACCCACAAGCTGGGCAAGGTGGACTCTCGCGTGCGACCGTGCCCTGTTACTCCTTCCCGCTTGCTTTGATGGAACTGCATCAAGACGATCCAAGGTTGTAGGCAAGCATCCCGTGGGAGTACTCCTTATTCTGAAGTTATTCAAAGGCTGCATGAGGTGTGCCTATCATTTGAAAAAATACAGAGGGGGCCTCCATCAGGTGATGCCCACCCTCGTGTAGGAGGTGACAAGTTCGGTTTGTCACGGAGCAGCCCATCGGCAACCTCTGTCGCATGAGAAATGTTCACCTGCTCACATCGTAGGGCGGTGTGGACAACTCAGTGATTCAACGTGTAGATGGATTAGATAGATGTCTGTAACATAATGAAAAAAGGTGCTTTGGGATCCTGAAGATGCAGAGTAGAAGGCACGGGGACAGTCAGTACAGGTCATTGTTTTGCACCCGCTCTCCACTTAGGTCCAGGAGGCTCTTGCAGGGGAAAAAGGGCCTGGGAAACCGAAAGATATTCTTTTGTGTGGGCTTGGCATATAATCAAAGCTAAGGGCTCTTCAGACTCCAGCTCTGCACGTGGGCACTGCACATTTTGCTGAAATCTCACTTGATATATTCTGCTTGTGAAGCCTGCTTAAGGTAACTCTTTCACTGTGAGGGTTAGCTTTGCTTGGAGAGCCACCACAAACATGTATATTCTTAGACAGAAGAGCAGAGAACACTATGAATCACTACTTCTGCTCTTGACACTTGATAAATAAAGTGTATTAGTTGATAAGCTTAGTATTGGAGAGTCAGCACCTGTGCTTGAATGGCAAGAGGAGATGGGGTTTATTCTAGCTGTGCCGGTGACTGGCTGCTTGACCTTGAGCAACTTTTTTTTTTTCTGTCTCTGAGCCTGTCTCTCTCCTACTCCTTGATTGTCTTGTCTTCTGGGGGTATGAGCTGTTCAGCAGAGAGATTTCTTTTCATTGTGTTATGTGAACAATGGAGTCTGAGCTTAGCTGAGGCCTCCAGGGGCTTCTGGGACACAAATTAGAATTGTTAGCTTTAATCACTTTCATCAAAAGAGCTTCGTAATGGAGGATGGAAACGCGCAGGATTTGGGAAGATCTGTAGGGTGCATGTTAATTAAGTCACTGTAGGTGAAAGTTGCTTATTTGGTTTCCCAGGGCTGATGCAGGGGCACAGATGCTCAGAAACAACGTCGTGCTGCTCCACGGTGGTTTTCTTCTCCAGCAGCACAACGCCGAGGGCTCGCGGCTCGCTGCTGTGTCTGAACCGAGCCAGAAAGAGGCTGCTTGGTGCCATCTTGGCCATCACGCTTTCTTCCCGTGGGCCTGGTTGGGCACCTAACCCCTTGCGTGGCTTTCGAAAGTTGTGGAGCGTTAACGAAGGCCGTCCCTCGTCGTGCTTTGAGGCGTCGCCGGACCCTAGCAAGGCGAGGGCAAGCCATTACGCTGTGATGGATGCTCCTCCCAGACGTTGCTGTCACCGAGCAGACAGTGTTTATCATCGCTCTCCCTAACAGCAGCTTCTGTTTTGGCATGGCGGTGAGGAAACGTGCTGGTGTGCAAATTAATTGCCCTCCTTTTGGCACCTAGTGATGCAGAGCAATACGCCCTAGTCCTAGTCTATTAGATGCATCACTCACCGAAGCAGAGGATTTAGAAATATTTGGCCTTATGAACACCAGCAGACGCGTTAGTAAGAGTGGGCTGTGTTGAAGTATCTACATTATCCATTTAGCACTAATCTCTGCAGGTAGAGCTGCAGGGTAACGTGGGACGGAGTAAGAGAGATAAGATGATTTCCCCACTTCATCAGAGTCTTAAGTGAAACCGCTTGCCAAATAGCACTTGCGGTTCAAAAATGCAACTCAGAGCCCATAGTCCGGGCTGAATATAGCCAGCTAAGAAATGACAAATGCTTTCTGAGAAGAAATACTGTCGTTTTATAGGGTGGGGAGTAGGTTTGTAGAGTGGTATGGAAAGCAGTAAAAGGAAGAAAATAGAAGGGGAAAAAAAAAGCTTCCTCTGCTTGTGGGGAAAGCACTATAACACTGACTTTCAACAGCAATCAGAGCAAACCCTTCTTAAATGTGTTCATACTGCATTTTCGGGCATCAGCTAACTGCAAATCCCTGCACCGCGCCGACTGCTCCTGAGTGCTGCCTTTCTAACATGCATTTTGCAAAATCTCTGCTGCGTAGCAGTGCACGTGTTGCTCCCTTACATGGTTAAAACACTAGCAGGCATAGTCCAAGCTCGGTTTCAAATCTGCGAAGAAATGGCTTATGGCAGAGGCCAGCTCAAGGTTATGCGTTTGGCATTTGGGGAGGGAAGAGGAGAAAGATTTCCCAGTCAGTACCCTCACATTATGGTAAAATAAGGGTGTGCGGGGAGGAAAGCATCTGCTGAATCCAAAAATGGCACAGTAGAGCCATAAACCGCTATGTTGTGCTATCTCTGTCTCTTTATATCCCGAGCAGAAGTGAAATCCAGGGTGTCATAAATGAAGCAAAGCTCTTGTTTTAATTTCATTTAAATAGTTGTTGTGAGTAATGGGGTAACAAACATTAGCTTCCTCAGACGAGGCAAACCGGTTTCGGCTGTATACCGCTGCCATCAAGTCAGAGTTATTCTCCAAACATAGGTGTAGTTTTTGCTATAAAATACAAGCAGAACAGACCAAGCAAGTGGCATTTTTCCTAGAAGCAAGGTATATGGATGCTGCTCCTGAGGTACTGCGTGATCTGCTCGGCGCTTGTAAAACTGTTTTTCCTACTCCAGCTGTATATATTTGATAAAAAACCAGCTGTGCTCGAGGTGGAGTCCTAGGGCCACTTCTTTGGTGTTCAGGGTTTTGGGGCTGTAGAGTGACCTGGGTATGATACAGGCACTGGGGCCTTGGCGTTCCTCATCATCCCAGGTTTAGGGACCTGCTGCTGCACCCAGCTCCTGGGGTACGACCAGACCATTAACGCTAGGTCCTATCTTACGTGGGCTTTATGGCTCTTACTTTCTGTCTGTCGTTTTAATACCCTTCTTCCAAATGAGACTTTTTTGGCTACGTTCTCCCCTGTATCTTGTGAAAACGAATGAGGCTCAAGGTTAATGTTGGAAACAAGAGCCGGGCGTGGAGACGGGTCTTTGCTATTTCCCTTGACCCACCATTTGTTTGTTTATTTATGTTGTTGTTATGGACTATGAATTGCTTCTCGCCAAAGTTTCATCTGTGGCAATCCCAGCTGCGTGAAATAATTTTTCATGTGTAATTAGTCCCAGTAAGATAGCACTCACAGGAGGCTGCCCTGGATGCATGCGTTTCGTGCTTGTCTCAATTAATGTTACGGTTAGCATCTGATTCTCGTTTTAGAAGAAAACACTGAGGACACGAGGAAGGGGAGGAGAAATTTGCAGTGGAACTGCTGAGGAATAGGAAGACGCATCCTTGCAATCATAATTTATTTGATGTTTATCTCAAACCAGACGTTTCTTTTTTATTCTGGTGCAGCAACGTGTAAAAACACGAGGCAAAATCTAGTATAACGTTAGTTTAGCCGGATCTCATTGGAGTTCGTTATAGGGAAGATATTATATTTATGTGTGCGGGTGTGTATTTGATAACTTGGTATACCTCCACCAGTTTCTTTATAGTTGGCAGTGATAGCTTCCACTGATTTTACTTCCAAAGTTCGATGGTTGGGTGCTGGTATTGCCTCCCTATATGGGGCTGTATTGTATAGAGATAAAAAATTCTTAAAGGCTTTTAAAAATCAGATCCGTTTGTCCAAAAATAGTTGCTCATTGCTGTATCCTCTATTGCATGTGTAGCGAAAAGTTCATGAGCGTGTAATAAATCCTCGGCGGCAAGGATAAATGTTTTTAAATTATTTTTTCTCTTTGTTTCTAGAAATGCTGAATTCACTAGTCCGCAAAAAATAGCGTATGGATTTTTAGCACCCGAAGAACAAGAAAAGGTAATTACTAGATCACTAGCCTCGTTTGTTAGCCGTGCTGAAACGTTAACCCGCTCAACCTGCTTGCGCTGTGTGAATCCGCAGCGCCGTCTCGGCTCGTGGGTTTTGCCCGTCTTCAGTTATTCTAGACTATGTCTTTACGGAAAAGGCGCGCGGGGGAGCAAAAGCAGCAAAACGTGAGAAGTCAAATGGCACAGCTCCGTTGCCCCTTCCTGGAGGACAAGGCACAGAGGAGTTGGGGAAGGTGGGCACGGCCCCTTTGAGGAGCCGCGGTCCTGTTGCAGCTGGTACCTCCGGCAAGACGGGGAAAGGGGTCCCCAAGTCTGCCTTCAGCTCGTTGCGGGGCTTTGGGTGCTCGAATAACGTTGCTCCTTTGTATGGTGGAAAATCTGGAGGGATCTCTGCAGGCTTCCTGTCGGTTTTCATACCGATAAAATAGCTTCAAAGCGATGCCACAGGGTCGAAAGCAACAGGGAACAGATATTTTGAAGGTCTGGACGTTTCATGTTAAAAAAAAAAAAGCAAGCATGGTGAGGTTTGAAATCGCAGAAACGTAGAGAAATGCAGGTGGCAGAAGCAGCAAGTTTGGCAGGGCTCGGGAAAGTTTCCGGGTGACCGTTTTGCGCGCTGTTGCGAGCCGCTGTTTCTTTGCTGTGGTTTGAAAAACGCACGCGAGTGACATCCTGCGTTGAGCGCGTCTGCGATGCCGCACCGCTGATAATCAGCGTACGCGTTTTTAGAGGCAGCCTGTAAACAAAGACAGCCCGCGCGCCTCGCAGGAGTGGAGCAACGCCCCCCCGTCCCCGTGGACGTGACAACCCTTTGGAAGAGCATCTTCCCTCTCTACAGCTAGAGGTACCGCCTCAGGTCTCAGGCAAGATGTTGAAACGCCCTAAAGCAGCTTTAATTTGCAAGCTGCGCTGTTCCTTGTGTCTTGTCTGTAGCGGACTCTGCATGCTTTGCCTCAGTTTAATATGAAATTACAATAGGCAAGTAAAAAAGGCAGTGGGGGAAGAAGCTCAAGGACACCAAGTAAGCAGTGGAGCAAAAGGTCTTAAGTTTTTTCCTGTAGTTTAGCTTCGTGGTGTTGGGAATTGCCTTGCCAAAGACCATGGGTGGGTTTGGTTTTGTTGGCTGCTTCCTTTAAGAGTTACAGTGTCGTTTAAAACTCTGTAAGCAGACTTCTGCCAGCTTGCTTTTCTGTCCCAGGACTGTCATTTTCAGACAGTTTATGCGTACCGGTAATGCCAGATAACTGTAATGGGGGCTCAAAGTGTAAGTTGTTTTATCCAGGGCAAAAAGAGAATCAAAAATCCAATTTCCAGAATTTTAAAAGGGGAATAACGGAAAGGTAGTTTATACCTGCCCCCTTGCCCCCAGATATCCTGCAAATTACAATAACATGCCGTGGGTTGGCCAAGAGGAAGACTGTGCTGCACGGTGGAATTTCACTGATATTTTGATTACTTGATGCTCTTTGATAAGTGAAATATTAATCTCTAAGTTAGCTGAACAATTTGAAATGATTTCAGCGAATTCAATCGTGTATTTATTTGCGCTTTTGGAAAGCCTACAGTTGCGGTAAGCAGTTTAAAAAAAAAAAATCTATTTTTTCTCAAGGAAGAAATTAAAAATACCCCCAGGTTCATCGTGGCTAAGTGCTTTCCAAGGGCTTGGAAAGAAACTCCCTGCGCTTTAGCGCGACGTGGCTCAAGCAGCGGAATTATTCCCAGCGGGTTTCTTAAAAGCTATAGACGTCGTTTTGAAGTTTAAGCATGAGCAATATTGCGAGAAGATAAAGCTACGTACGTCGCGACGAAACGGCCGCTGGTATTGGTGCGGTTGATCAATGTGTAGTTTTCAGCGGCTTCTCGTGTGCTCGGAGTCGAGGTGGTTGCGTGCAGTTTTCTCCGGCCGGAAAAGGGAGAATTTTGCCCTATCAGCTGCAAGACCGGGGCAACTCGGAGCTCCTCGAGACTCGGATTCAGCAGCGTACTTGCATTTGGCGTAGCGTGGCGTTATTACCCCCTAGAAAAGGCTTTTTATCCCATCTTCTGGGAGAGGAGACTCGGATCGATTTTTTTTTTTTTTTTTTCCCCTTCGATACCCCCATGAAAGGGGAATTGGGGGCTTTCCGCAGGCGGAGTGGATTTCCCGCTCTGCAGGAACCCACCCCTAATCTTGCTTCTGCCGCTCCCATCAGCAAGCGGGCCACCAAATTTTAGAAAAGAAACAGCGCTTTTATTCTCGGCGTGACCGGGCCGAAGTAAGAGATAGCAGGGCTCAAGGGCATGAGTAGCGCGCTCTTCTTTTGTAGTCGATGACCTT